CACCCTTTAGAATGTGCCGGCACTTTGTGTGGAGCGCCAACTGCATACTCCGTGTCGGGTTTTTGGCTTTTTTGCAATTTTAATTAATGGCAGAATTATAGTCCTGGTCCCTGACTCCTGGATTCCACGCAAGTTGATCATTACATTTTTTATCTTTTCAATTTGCTCCTTAATCAAGAATGGAGAAAATCTCACTTGAGTCTTCAAACTTCTAAATTTGATCCTTTTACTCTCATCTTTCTCGCTCTTTATATTTGAGTCCTTTTCTTTTGATTTTCTCCATTTAGTTATCAAACCTTTAATCACCAAAATTTTGCACAATATGAATAAAATGAATAATTATGAAATTATTTATAAAAAAATACAATTCTTAAGCCTATAATTCTACAAATATCAATGGTTAAGTGTACTTCAAATATATATTTTCATACCTTCATCACCGTCTTTTAATTGATATAAAACTAACATTTTTAGTGACAAAATGTCCTAATATTAATCAATAGCTTCAAGATTCCTCTTCAGATATAGAACAAAACGCAAAAGGTATAGCAAATAACATGAAACAAAACACAGCAAATTCGTTTTATGGAGTTGAAGCAATAGTTTAAGGTCAAAATTCTGAGGTCCCTACTTTCGCTCATTGCAGGGAAGGGAGTCATACACCTCATGCATTTTCCATGCACTTGGCATGCTGCTGTTTCTAGATTAATTGATCGGATTACAAAAAACTCTCATAACCTTGCTTCCCGTCTTCCAGCTGCATCCTCATGTTCAACCTGATAAAAACCAAGTTAATTCAAAAAACCCATATGAAATGAAGAACTAATTTTTAACAGAATTTAGAAGAGCCATCTATACATAGACAAATAAAATTAGAACCAAATGTAGTGGAATGCATGGAACAACGCACGTGATGGATTTTAGATCATAGGTAAAAAAGTAATTTTGCTTGGTACTTTGAAAAGACAAATTTTACCAGCCATGAACTAATTTACGGACAGGATAACTGGCTACCCAGGTACCAAGAGACTATTCTGTTGCTTGCAGGACGAGAAAGTAGACCAAATATGAAAGGTTAATGTCCTGGTGCCTCTAGTTTCTCATTTTTTAAGAAAAAACCAAATAGACATAGACCAGACAATTATTTCAAAAAATAAATAAAGAAATAAATCAGGCATTGATGATGGTAACAAGAAATCACAACTCCATATAATGGGTAGCCCATTGATAATCCCCCTCTTCTCTTCCCACGGAAGTTGAAAGAGGAAAAATAACATCTAGTAGACATGTTACAAGATTTAGGTTGAAGTAACAAATTTACAAAGCAAAATCCCCATCAGATGGAATATCCAAGTGAACAAGATGGACGCTTACACAGTTACACGTGAATATCATATGACTACGAATTTAATTGTCAGATGATTATGAAAAGGAGGTTGAAATATAGGCTTCCTTTAGGAGTATGGTGCTCTGTTAGGCTGTACTGTTGGCTTTTTTTTGTCTTCTATCATCTTAAAAATATATAAAATATTAATTAAAATTAATTAAAAATAATAAATTTACATTTTGTCTTCTGCATGAAAGATGAACATATTTCCTTTTCCATAAACATGTGGACAGTTTTACCCTTACCCTTGTGAGATCTATCCATTGCAAGGCCACTAAAATCTTCTATATCATCCTCCTCCTCAAGTCCATCATAGCCCATCTCCCTTTCTACCATTCATGGAAAACCCATTAGGACCATGTGGTCCATGGCCCTTACCCATCATGGGCACCATCTTTTTATGCCCATGACCATGCCCAAAATCCTCCATATCATCCTCCTCCTTGTAATCAAACTCATCCCCGCCAAATTCATCAAAACCATCCCACTGGCACCAAAATCATCCGCAGGCAAGCTAAATTTAATAGACTTGGAAGGTGCCTTACTGAGTTCATTAGGGAATCCCTTCATCTGCTGTGGAGCAAAGTTATGGCAACCATTCTGCTGATTATTTCCACCCTTTTGAGGTTTGCTGTCGTTCCCACCTTTCCCGAACTGATGGCCTAGATTGTTCTGGAACCCCTTTTGAGGTGCCCACAGCTGTGCATGTTTTCCTGACTTCTCAAGCTTCTTGATGAGAACTGCTGGATCAACATCCCCTGTCACTGTCACTTTTCCCTGCTCTGTATCTGTACTGGTAGTATAAACCCCTGAATCAAACAAATTTATGACCCAAAACAAAAATTAACAAAATAAAAATAAAAATGAAAAATTTAAAGAAACCCAAAACCGAGAGTTACATACAGATCGAATAATCGCAACATACCATCAATTTTCTGCAAGAGTTTCTTTAGTTTCTGCTTGCAGCCATCGCAGTGACACTGGGTATTTACTTTGAGAACCCAAGTCTGCAATAAAAATGCAAACCTTAGAAATTAGTACACGAAAACACTAGGAAGAAGGAAATGGAAAAGAATATAGATGAAATATATGTATGTGCCTGCATCTTCATGACCTCTTGTTTACTCATTTTA